AAGAACAAATGTAGGACCTGAAAGTCTGTACGCTATGTGCATGCTCCTGTATGCCTTATGTGCATATTCGCTAAGTGCGTGCCAGACCCTATCCACTTTAAACATAAAAACACACTAAACTATCTGCAAAAACAAAATTTTGAAGCGGTTTTGGAACAAGGATCTGAAGTAAAGCTCTTTTAAAAAACACATTGAACAAAAACCCTTCTTTCCACTTCATAAGAAAGTAAAAGTTTATTTGAAATCACACAGTACCTGAAAGACAGCGAGCAGAAACTTTGATATAATATGGCTGTTAGTGTAACAAGAAAAATAGAGCATTCATTGTAAACTTGATAGTTAATGAATTATTTGTACAGTGGAGTGGTTTAACGCTATTACTATTACTGTCGGTGGTAAAGTCTTGGGAATAAAGGCGCACCTTTAGATGTAAGAAAAGAGTATGTGTGATAGATACTACAAAGACAAGAAAACTATGACTATATATATTTTGAAAGCTCTATGAAAAAGCTTTATCTATAACATTCGCTGAAAGAATTTTTACTAATTCAACATTTCTCCCCTAAAATCTGCCGGGAAATCTCGGAAACTGCAGAGGACCCGACGAAGTCATTTTCACTGACTTGCAGAGTTGCGGTCGCTGGCGGTTCTAAGTTTATCAAGAGACAATCTTTTGTGTTCCTCTGGCTCAAAAAAAGTTCTAATAACTACAGGGGGTCCTTCTTTACACTTTCGTTCATCGTCAGTATTTCCGGGGTTCGTGTAGACCTCTGGTGGCAAAGAAAGTGCTGATCTCATCAGCACGTCTTGACAGTGATATGGTACCACATTCTGGGGGAACACTTAACTTTCTTAAGTTTAGCCAAGTTTTGGGTTTAGAAAAATTGTTATAAATAAATAGAGAAGAAAAAAATCAGGGATTCAATTTTTTTTTCCGCTATTCTACCGTCTTCAGATACATGCCGTGCTAGATCGTTGCCAACTCCACTGTATAAGAAAAACATGGATAATCTCACTATAGACTGGATTAGTACTAAAGTAAAGATAAAAGATGGATACGATTTAGAATACCAATACACATGCATACAGAAACACGCAAATACACCATAAAGGAATAACTATAATACCTCAGTTAATTTCTTAAAACAGATACCCCAGAACACCAGTATAACTGCAATCTTAAACTCGCATATTATGATAATATGGTATTCAACTCGATGCTCATGTGAAACAGTGAGCAGATTACATGTATCAATATGCACGGGGATCAATAAAAAAAAAAAGAGAAAGACCCAAGCGTCATATAAACATACAGCTTCTACCAGTCCAGCCAAAAAACACCGATCCGCAGCGATACATGATGGCACTGACGTGGCTCTGGTGAATGACGAATCATTGCAGCCAACAATTTAACCTCCCCCCCCCCCCCACACACACACCTCGCCTCCAGTGGAGGGGTAAAATCAACAGGATGGGAATAGATGTGATCCCTTAACGTGCAAGTGAGGGGAAGGGGTACAGCCCAACGGCACGTGGTAAACGCTATGCTTACCACCAACTCTCCCTTGAGTGAGTGTCTTCTACAATCACTCTCACCTACTTATTTCGCACGCTCCCCGTGGTTGGCTTGTGACCTTCCCTCGGCCTGCTGCATCTTTCTTGATTCTCCTTGCAAGGACAAAAACACCCCTGGAAGGGACAGGCCTCGGTATGGCATGCCAAACCATGGACGCCTTCACGCCGATACAAAGGACCCAGGACGTGACAAGTCGCTTGTCTGTGTGAAGTTGGCTCAACAATGCTGCCAAAGTCAGACCACATTAAGTTGATCTTCCCCACGGCTCGGTAAGAGACAGCGGTGGCGGGGAATGGACCACAGTGGATCGTGCCTTGTCCGCATACAAATTGGAAGCTCGCCCTTGACTTTTTGTACAGCGCGTTGCCCCGCTTTTGTGAGAGACAAAGAACCTGCAGCTCTGGAATCTCAATGTCAGTTGTACAACACTGCTTGTTGACCACAGACCTGGGTGGGAAGAAAAGCCGCAGGCTCCAAGGCTAATGCGGCAAAGAATATTGAGAGAAATACATCCGAGCCCGGGCGACGCCTCGTTTATCAAAACCCGCGCCAGGCAGTGTCCACCCAGGCTACTGCCGGTGAACAGTTAGTAAATGTGGAAATATATTAGTGAATTAGACTAACGTTTGCGGCCTTGCAAGTAATGGAATAGACATTTCTGATCTTTTGCACTCCAGGAAAATCAGTGTTGCCCTACTACAAGAAACTATACACCGTAGTACAGACCCAATATGCCAGGTTACACCCATTATACCTGCAAATGACCTGACCACCAGGGTGTAATCACCTATGCTATAACTGAAATGCAAGAAAAAGTTGAAAACAACACAACTAACATAGAAACAGACACCCTAGAAGGGTACGCAGGTAGCACAGCCCCCCCAAGGAAATGACTGTACTTTTTTAATTTTCATTTCTCCAAGAATCTGTATACACCAAAACAATACTAGTGGGTGACTTTAATATGACCACATCCCCCCAGTGAGGATACAGAAAATACAAAAGTGGAAAGGCCATGGAGGAACTATGCAACACAAAAAACATCCTTGCTCTGAAAAAAAAAAAAATCAAACCTTATCATTTTACACAGGGCTCACAACACTATCAGCAGGCCTGATTTGACCATCTTATCATCTGATCTCTCCTACAGATACACATTAGAAGTCATTGACGGCACAGGAAGAGACCGCAGACCTATTGTGACTCCAGTGTCGATCTCAAGCCAAAGACAATTTGTAAAGAAGATTAAGAGGAATTTTTTTTAACGCGAACTAGGAGCTGTACAAGAAACAACTGAAACGCCCCTAAAAGACATAACGCCAACCTGTCTGTTGATGTTACGGTGGAGCTGTGACAGATTCTCTGCTCAAGGCTGCAGCTTTCTTCATCCCTGAAGGTTGTAGGAAGAATTACAAGCCCTTCTGGAATGAGTACTTTGAACAAGTAGTTCAAGAAAGAGAAAACGCACGAAAAATTCTTGACAGTAAACCATCAACAGAAAATGTGTAGCATTGTGTTCACGGCAGTGGACATGGCTTTAAGTTTAAGGCCAAACCACAAATTCATAGCCTCTCATACTTTTCAGTTTGTTTCGTTCAGAAAGCTGAACTTTTCCTTGTTTTTACATCAGAAGTTAGGAGCCGAGTTACTCTTTGCTACGTCCTTTCATCAACGAGCGTCATCAGCTCCTAAAAGATAAGTCCATTATTTCTCAAATTTCATACTCTTTTTGCCTGTTTGTGGTTTCCGTTTGTGAAAACATGCTTGGCACCTAAGACTATACGCTGAAGTACTTTTTAAGGTAAAATAAGAGGGTTTAGGTGATAAAATAGCTTTAAAAATATGCACTGTCCACTGAGGTGGACATGATGAGTAAGCCCGCTTTAGTATAGTATAAGGTTTTACGGCGCTCGCAACTGCTAAGGTCATATGAGCGCCTTTCTATGACCGAAGCGGATATCCACTCAAGTGGACGCCATTGGCCAGAAAGGATTCTTCGTGTGAAGTGGATGTGCACTGCAGAGGACATGGAGAACAACATGGGTCTGGGTCATTTTATGTTTGGTTTAAGTACACAACGACTTTAGACAAGAGGGGAGTTTTGGATTCTGGTTCATTTACATTTTTTTCTTTTTTTTTGTAGACGTTATTAATATCATTATTACTATTTTTATTAATTATTATTATTATTATTATTATTATTATTATTATAATTTTGAAGCTGTAAATCTTGAGGAAATCAACTTCATAAGCCCGTTTTTAAAACATTTTTTTTATACAGGTACAGAACTTTATGCTCCTTTTTCTGACGCCGTCGATGCTTATGAATCATAATATTTTGGTTTTATTTCACTCCAATGGGCATCCCCCACCTCCTCTATCAATATCAAATTAACTGAACCAATGAAAATTACACTTTTTGTCACGTCATCTAAACGCGCATTACAGGATTTCACTTCGATTTGAAATTATAGACGCAGAAGTTCCAGCCCGGCACGTTCGTTCAAAACAATTTCATTTTGGGTTCAATTAACAGCCTACAGGTGAGTTGTGTCATTTCTTCCTTAAGACACTTTTCGAAATTATTATGTGTCTATTTAGATATAATATACATCTTTGTTTATTGCGATACATTGTGACATCAGCGTTTAGAGCTTACAAATTCGCCCACCATTCAGTAAGCTTCATAGTGACTTTCGAGATTGTCAAGACTTGCGCGTTTATAATTTTCATATGAAAGATTAAGCCAATTGACACGTTTAGACCCCAATAATAATAATAATAATAATAAAAATAACAACAACAATAATAATAATATAGATTAATCATTGGGTATTATTAGTCACTGATTTAGATCTCATTAATGTTGATTAATTGTTGGGTTTTAATTAGTCATAGATGTATCTCAGCAACATGGATTGATCATTGGCTCTCTGACCTAGATCTAACTACATGTAGGTCCAGATGTAGGTTTAGATCTCTAAAATAAAGACAACTTCTAAAGCATAATTTAGTGATTGGTTCAGATATAAGCAACTAAACTGTTGATTGTAATTTAGTCTTTGATGTAGATCTTAGCAATGTAGATTAATCATTGGAAATTACCTAGTTGTAGCTTTAGATATCTCTCTTTAGAGATGTAGATTAATTGTTGAGCAATATCGGTAGCTCAGTGGCATCGAATAATTGCTGTATCATCCAGTCATAGGAATGGAGATTAATTGTTGAGCATTGATTTATAATAAATGAAGATCGATAAATAATAAGATATATGAGTATTTAGTTAGTATCCAATCACAGTGAAAGTACGACTTGGACGATGAGTTTGATTTGACAAAGGATAATCGCTACTATCATATTTTAACCTGCTATAACATAAGCGTTTCCTTAAGTCAAAGGCCAATGAAAGTAAGGATTATTTTTTAATCATTCAGATTTACTTTCACTTTAGAAGTAACATTTCTTTATTATATGTAATAACTTATGTCATTATTTATATTTTAGTCATGAACCACTTTCCACGAGGCCATAAGCTGTTACAGCTGTCTAAAAAGGTAGCAGAAACCCCTCCAGCAAAGCCTCCACGACAAGTCAAGGAGATACACCCAGCACCTCTCTAAGGGAAATGCCCCTCCTCACTCCTCAGAGGGAAATGCCTATCATCACTCCTCACTCCTCAGAGGGAAATGCCTATCATCACTCCTCAAAGTCAAAGGGAAATGCCTATCATCACTTCTCAGAGGGAAATGCCTATCATCACCTCTCAGAGGGAAATGCCTATCACCACTCCTCAGAGGAAAATGCCTATCATCACCTCTCAGAGGGAAATGCCTATCATCAATCCTCAAAGGAAAATGCCTACCATCACGTCTCAGAGGGAAATGCCTCTCATCACCTCTCAGAGGGAAATGCCTATCATCACTCATCAAAGGAAAATGACTATCATCACCTCTCAGAGGGAAATGCCTATTATCACCTCTCAGAGGGAAATGCCTATCCATCACCTCTCAGAAGGAAATGCCTATCACTATCATCACTCATCAAAAGGAAATGCCTACCATCACCTCTCAAAGTCAGAGGGAAATGCCTCTCATCACCTCTCAGAGGGAAATGCCTATCATCACTCATCAAAGGGAAATGCCTATCATCACATCTCAGAGGGAAATGCCTATCATCAATCCTCAAAGGAAAATGCCTACCATTACCTCTCAGAGGGAAATGCCTCCCATCACCTCTCAGAGGGAAATGCCTCTCATCACCTCTCAGGGGGAAATGCCTATCATCACTCATCAAAGGAAAATGCCTATGATCACCTCTCAGTGGGAAATGCCTATCATCACCTCTCAGAGGGAAATGCCTATCATCAGCTCTCAGAGGAAATGCCTATCATCACTCATCAAAGGGAAATGCCTACCATCACCTCTCAAAGTCAGAGGGAAATGCCTATCATCACTCATCAAAGGGAAATGTCTATTACCACTCCTCAAAGGGAAATGCCTATCATCACCTCTCAGAGGGGAATGCCTATCATCACCTCTCAGAGGGAAATGCCTATCATCACTCCTCAGAGGGAACTGCCCACGAGTCTTCTCTGTATGAACCATTTGACATCAGGGAGGGAAATGCCTATCATCACCTCTCAGAGGGGAATGCCTATCATCACCTCTCAGAGGGAAATGCCTATCATCACTCCTCAGAGGGAACTGCCCACGAGTCTTCTCTGTATGAACCATTTGACATCAGGGAGGGAAATGCCTATCATCACCTCTCAGAGGGGAATGCCTATCATCACCTCTCAGAGGGAAATGCCTATCATCACTCCTCAGAGGGAACTGCCCACGAGTCTTCTCTGTATGAACCATTTGACATCAATTTTTCTGATATATCATTTACTCATTTGTTAGACATATCAGTGAGTAGCAGTGATTTAGTGTATTTTGATCACAATGAGACAATTGGAGAGAATGTTGTCGCTGAGACTGCTGCTAACCTGCATGACGATAGTCTTTTTCAGAATGTTCTTGATTTGAGCTTGTCTATACGCAATGATGGAAAGACAGATGCGAATGAAAATTAAATGAAGGTGGAGATGAGGTTCTTGATGTGAAAATATGTGATGCTAGAGATAAGGCTCATGATGTGAATGTGCGTGATGGCAGAGGTGGGTCTCTTTATGTGAATGCTGATTGCAGGAGAGAAACTATTTTCTTAATTATAATGTGAATGCATATGATGGGGGAGGTGCAGTTTTTGATTCCAGCATGTTATTGTATGATGGTAGAGGTGAAGCTTTTGATTTGTTGAATGTCACTGATCCGATAGGTGAAGTTGTTGATTACAACATGCATGATGGAGGACGTGAAGCCTTGGATTTGAATGTCACTGACAAGAGAGATGAAAATGTTGATTCCAACATGAATGGTAGAGGTGATGCTTTGGATTTGAAGGCCACTAACCAGTAAGACCGATCTGCCTATCATTCAAACATTGAAAGAAAATTTGAAGAAGAGTGCAGACACTGACAACTGCATAGCAGCTGATGAGATGATGGTGCCCTTCAAGGGCAACCACTCCCTCAAAGTGTACATAGTTTAAAAGCCCAAGAAATGGGAGTACAGAATCTGGATGCAAACAGGACAATCAGGTTATAAGTGCACAAATTATTTTTGCAGGGGATAAAAGTCTGAAATCAGATGCGGAGTTTTTTTTTAGAAGATCGGGAGGGCTAGACGGTTTTGTTTTTTTGTTTGTTGTTGTTTTTGTTGGCTGTTGATGTTTTTGTAGCTGTTTTTTTCTTGTTTACGGGAAAGGGCTGCTAACCCTTTGTCCAATCGACCTTAGTCGCCTTCTACGACGTGCGCTGTACGGATACAGTGGTCCTATTCTTTGCTCCCTAGCCTTCTACGATATGTGCGGTACGGATACAGTGGTCCTATTCTTTGCTCCCCTGTCTCTTGGACAAGGCTCCGGGAACCACCTGGAATGTTCGTACAATGTACGAGGCAGGAAAGGTACTGAAGGTTGCAAGACAGATGGAGGCCTACCAGCTGGACATATTGGGTCATTGCGAGACGAGTAAGTGAGTTGTTTTGTAAGCCTATTTTTCTATCTTATCGTCATCGATAAGTGAGTGGTTTTGATTTTAGTAGTGTGCCTATTTCTATCTTATCATCACTGATAAAAATGAGTTGTTTTTATTTCAATATATGTCTATTTTTATTTAATCATCATTTAGCCGAAAGATCGTTCGCCCACCTTGCTCCGTCAGTTTGGAACTCTCTTCCCCAACCCTTGAGACATACAACATCTGAGTCTAAATTTTTAAAAAATCTTTAAAGACACATTTAATGACATCCTTTTTAAGTCAGTAGATTCATGTTCAATACAATGTTATGTAAATGTCTATGTATCCATTTATGTATTTTGTGAATTGCAGTGTATATATTATTTTATTCTCATTTCGTGACGATGTGTAATCGTGTGCGTGTGATAAGCAAGTAGATGTGTGTGTGTGTGTGTGTGTGTGTGTGTGTGTGTGTACGTGTGTGTGTGTGTGTGTGTGTGTGTGTGTGTGTGTGTGTGTGAGTGTGTGTTTGTGTGTGTTTGGCATACATGTGTGCGTGTTATGTGTTCGTGAGTGTGTATGCGTGTGTTTGTGCGTGTATATGTATATGTGTGTGTGTGTATATGTGTGTGTGTTTGTGTGTATATGAGTGTGTGTGTGAGTGTGTGTGTGTGTGTGTCGCGTGCATGAATATTTTTCTTACATGCATTTATGTAAAGCGCCTAGAGCTGTGTTTACACGGGAGTGGGCGCTATAGAAAGAAATGATCTTCATTATTATTATTATTATTATTTATAAACAGTGAGTGGTATTGATTTTAGTAGTACGCTAATTTCTATCTTATCACCATTGAAAAAAAAGTGAGTTGTTTTTATTTCAATACATCATTATGCCTATTTCTATCTCATCATCATTGATAAATAGTGAGTGGTTTTTACTTTAGTAATAGGCCTTTTAATATCTTATTATTGATATAAAGTGAGTTGTTTTCATTTCAATATATACCTATTTTTATCCTATCATCACTGATAAAAAGTGATTGGTTTTGATTTTAGTAGTATGCCTATTTCTATCTTATCATCATCAAGTGAGTCATTTTTATTTTAGTAATATAGGCCCACATGTGTAATGAGTATTTCTCTGTGTGTGCGGTTGTATGTGTGTGTGTCTGTGTGAGTGTGTGTGTGTGTGTGTGTGTGTGTGTGTGTGTGTGTGTGTGTGTGTGTGTGAGAGAGAGAGAGAGAGAGAGAAAAAGGAAGAGAGAGAGAGAGAGAAAGAGGAAGAGAGAGAGAGAGATAGAGAGAGAGAGAGAGAGAGAGAAGGAGAGAGAGAGAGAAAGAGAGAGAAAGAATGAGCAGGAGTATGAATTATATATTTTTGAGGTTTTAATTTTATTACCACGCATCTGGCCTCAAGTTGAAGAGAAAGTTCATATGTTCCAGAGTTGAAAACTAAGTGTCAATATAAAACTGTTTTGTACACATTTATGTTACTATCTTATGTACCTACTTTGTTTCTTAGGTTTAGATTTTGGGAATTTTCAATTGGCAGTTTTCGTAAGCATGATGTCCACTAAAGTGGACACGTAGTTATCACACAAAATTGGCACAGTTCATGGCGTCCACTACAGTAGACACATTGACACACACCCCCCCCCCCCCAACCCTTCAATGGCGTCGAATTTTGAACAAAAACTTTCTTCTGTGTGGTAATCTAGCATCAAACAACTTATAAGGTAAATTTGGACCACGCACTATGATTGCTTCATATACCATGCAACAAAGGGTTAGCTACAACAAAGCTTCAGCTAAGGTCAAACAGCTCTTCAGGTTCAGTCAGAAAGTCCTTGATGGCTTCCAGGAAAAGAAACACACAGTGTCAGTCTTTGTTGATCTCCAGCAAGCATACAACAGGGTATGAAGAAAAGGCCTGTGGTGGAAGAGACATAGACAGAAATCCATGGGAAACTCGACAGATGGATGAAGACCTTCCTTACAGACAGGACAATCCAGACCAGTACGAACAATGGTATGCCATCCAAAGCTGTACTGGAAGAGGGCCTACCCCAAGGTTCCTTTCATCTGAGCTGCACACTCTTCCTTGTCTTCATCAATGACCTGCCTGAGATACTGAAATAGGAGAAGGCCCTATATGCTGACGACTTAGCCATCTGGCATTCAAGCAAACAAGCTGGCACCAGAGCAAGGCTGATAAATGAAGACCTTGACAGATTTGACAACTACTGCCGCAAGTGGGAACTAAGAGGGAACTGTACCCAGACAATCTACACCGTCTTTACGAAAAGTCACGAGGTGGTAAAGCAAAAATCTCATCATCTTTTTTGCAGCAATCAAACTCGAGAAAGTTGAAAACACCACCTATCTTGGGATCTAGCTAGACAGACAGTTTTCAAGAAAAAAATCATATTGAACCTGACGACTTAAGCCAACAAGAGACTTAACCTTCTCGGATGGCCGACTAGCACTTCATGGGGAGCGGACAAAGACACACTTAGACAGCCATATGTTGGCTATGTGCGCTCTGCCATTGAATACAACCTAGGCCTACAGAAAATCTGCAACAAACAAACTAAGAGGCCCCTTGACAACCCTGTCATTCCAGCCCAATTTGGGCTGAAAGGGACACTATAGCCCAACAGAAAGATCTCAGCTACTTGATAGAATATCTTCCCCAAGCAGGAATCAAACTCATGTCCTTTACATGCAAGGCAAAGGTCTTATAATCTACGTCACATGCAGTCTTACACTATTTACAATATGCATACATATGATGAACATACAGAATAGGGTTGGAAGTATATGGCTACAAAAATTAAAAATCAATAAGTAAATTTTGCCTCAATTTGAAAAAACAAATCAACAAAAACATGTATCCTGAGGATGCAAAGTGTATCATTAATAGATCTAAGTCTAGCTGCTGTGCACATCAACAAAAATAAAATTAAAATAAACTATTAACAATCATTTGCATTTACAAGAAACTAATAATTCAAATTTAAAGTGAACTTTGCTGCAATCAACAAAAAAATTGAAAAAAAAATGTTCCTGATTTCAACACTGTGCAACAAATTAGTCGATAAAAGGTGCATTATGCTGCTTTGAAGTAGACAATAAATCAGTCATACCAAGTTTGCTGCCTGGTAATTGTAGCAAAACCACATGATTCGTGGACAGTGCAAATAAAGCTTCAAGACAATCCAGCTTTCACATAGCAACATTGGTGGGGTGCAGAAATCTTTTCGTTACATATAAATTTTGCTACGTACATGTTTTAAATACAAAAATATAATGTAGGAGAAGACATATGGAAACTGAAAATCTTTTCGCAATGAGCACGCTTTACAAATTGAATATGAAAGTCCAGGACTCCCAGGTGGCATCCACGGTTGACAGGATGGGCAACAGGTGCTGTTGGAGTTCAATCCCATACTACACACAATGTACGTTATTTTAAAGGTAGAGAGTTTGGTCTTGTATAAAAGATTTTTCTCATACACAAATTACAAATTTTGCAATACAAATCAAGTCCGTTAGCAACCGGGCTACTGCAACCAATCTTTTTTTTTTGTAATTCCTTTTCTGATAATACAAGGCAATAATGTGAATATTTTAACAAAAGATCATATTGTAAATCTTGAAGTAGATGACAAGGTGCTGTACATATTAAAAAACATGAAGATTAATCACGGAGATCAAGAAAAAGTGCATTATGCATTGGGAAACTCATTCAACAAGGTCAAAGGGTATATGTTGTATCAAAATCTAAAAAATTGAGCAAAAAACAATTTAAAACGGTCACAAAAGGCACTCTCCTCTCAATATAAAATCACTTAGTACTGGAGTAAAAAAGATGTTAGTAAATACGCAATATAATGAAGTAGCTGCCATGATATGGAATTATAACATACTTTACAACATACTTGACAGTTTGGAAGGGTTACAACTAATGTTGAGGACCAGTCTCCTTGTCTTTGGTACTGAAAGGAGATGAACGGGCTGTGAGTGTCAATGAGCTAAACATAACCTTGAGTAGAGAGTCCCACTCAAAGATGTGCAGATGTTGAAAGGTAATTTTCTGATTTTTAATGTTGTAAACTGTGGCGTGTTGGTAAAGAAAAGGACTCTCACGAACTCTCAGTATACAGCGTGCCAGTTCTGCTAGACCACGGCATCGCTGGGTTGTTTACAGTCATAGCTTAAATCTCTGAATCATCCCCATCAAATCATCAAACCGTAATTTATTGCATGTGTACTATTCATTTCTACTCAGTTGGGAGTTACAGGGAAGTTTGCAAATTTGAAAAATTGAATAACAAAATTACTCAGTAGCAGAGTTACAGTGAAGTTTGTCATACTGAAAAACTGAATGACAAAAATGGCAGCACACAAAGGTGGAATAGTTTTTCGTATACCAAGAGTTTAGAAATATAGTCCAAGAAGCAAAAACAGACAACGAGCCTAGTTCCTGCAGCCACACCACACATTGTCATCAATATGATCAATGAGAAAAATTCTCTCCCGAATATTTTTGCGGCAATTTGATGGCCTAAGACTTTTACTAAGAGATATTTCGTCCCCTCCCCCTCCCCCGGAGTTGGGCATTTCATTACAAAAACAAAGAAATATTTTTTTAAAAACCAAAAAAAAACCAAAACCCAAATCCACATTCAACACTCTGTGTCTGAATTACGTCAGTGTAAACCGATATCGTCCCGGGACTTTTTTTCCAGAATGGATCCCACCATTATTCAGAAATAGCTTCATGTTGTAATCAATTAACGTGGGTGGGTGGGTGTGTAACATACTCTGATTTTCTTTTTTTTTTATGTGGGACTGTATGTACTCAAGTATGTAGTAGGGAGCAGTAGGAACCTTTGGGGGGGGGGGGGGGGGGGGAGAGATGAAGAGATAGAGGGTGCTCTTGTTCTCTGTATTACTGTTCCAGATAATCATCTGTTAAAATCAGCTATTTACCACGTCCCCCTTGCATTTTTTTCTTCATTATAACAACTGTCCAAGAAGACAACCAGTCTCAGATGACCGCTTATCTCCTCCACACAGAGAGGTCGTCTTACACAGGTCTGAATGTGAAGGAGTAATTAGTATTTGTGTCATGACACGGTAGAATCAGGCGCTCTTCAATTTTTGGGCATGTGGAGATATTGATATCAGCTTAAAACTTGATTAGTTTTCTTTCTTTCGATAGAACCCCCCCCCCCCCCCTCTTGAACGGAAGTAGAGATATTTGAGATTGACGGAGGTGGGGGTCGCCCAGTTTCAAAGGTAAAATTAGTGAGAAAATATCCACCAAAGTTTGGGGAATTCCATAGCTTGAGAAAACTTTAAAACTGAGAATTTGTATTTCTGCGTCTTAAATTGGGGTCACACGATGTGTCCGGACTAGTTCGCCAAGCGCTAGAACACAAGTGTGTTCTTGCGCAGTATGTCTTTCGTTGTGCTTGTTTCACATGATGGCTGCTTTTTGTTTTGAGGATCTACATTATTCGAAAATTTGTTTCATTTCGGACATATGTGAGCGTGCCTGGTGAAAGGGACCATATGACGCATTTTGAAGAATCCCGTTTTTTTGCATTTTCATGTACAGAGATTATTTCTGAACAATATGGTTTTTGAATTTTAAAGATATCTTCAGTAGTTTTTGAGATATGGGTGATTTTGTAGGGCAGGGTATGGAAACTAAGTTTTGAGAAAAACGGCTTTAAAGTTTCCCCTTTGTTTCTGCTTCAAATAGATAGATCTACACTTCGAGAGGACCTGACAACACATTCGCTACTCACAAACCAACTTTAAAAAGCATTTAAGATGAAAGAACAGCTTCAAAGTGTTTATATTACGTCTTCAAAACAAATTCACCACCACCTGGAGCAAAAATTTTCAAGAAATGGATCTCGGTTGGCACAGGGCAGAAAAATGCGATAAAAGTTGGCTCTCCAAAAAGGTGAAAGGGTATGGATGTGCAATGCTTCATTTTGTTCACATGTTCTAGAAATTCATGCACACTACCTCCCACTAGAGAGAGGAGAGAATGACCTAAATTTTGATATGCAATGTGATTGGGTCGACTTAATGAATGGAGAAGAGAAACCATCCGCAGTGTGTACTCGGAAAACCAGTTTTCACACGCATTTTTGGGGATTATGCAATATACATCGTGTTAAAAAACATCTTTAAAGATGTATTTTAAAGTACAAGAAACTTAAGTCTTTGTAAATATCGATGTATTAATGGTTAAAGAATCCATTTTTAATTGAACTTAGTTTTTGTAAAAAAATTCCATTTCTGATCTTTGAAGCCTGATATCTCGGTTCGAACAAATGCATCTTGTGGTCCCTTTCACCAGGCATGCACACATATGTGCTCTCATTCTACCATGGAAAAGATTTTAAAAGGTTTGTCAGAACAATTAGCATCGCTACAGTCGTCGTTCGATGAAAAATTTAGCTCAATTGAAACCAGATTGAAAAGACTAGAAAACCAAATAGTCAAAGACACTACAACAACAGTGACAGACAGTCGAGAAACTGAAACTGAAGGTGACAGTCGACCGACCTTTAGGTCTAGATCCAGTCAACTTGAACCAACTGCTACTGCTACGGCGGACACAAACAGACAAACGGGCTTCGGCGCAGATCTCAGAGAAGATAGAGAAAGAGCAAAGTGAATACGCCGTGTCAGTGGTGAAATCTTCTTTCGATGAGGACACCTCCCGAACCTTTCGCCAATTAGAGAACAATGCCAGCAGTTTCTCTACAGCGAAATCCACACAGAAATGTTTAAATAGACAGAAAAAGTGTTGAGCTAAAAAAAAAATTGAAAAAAAATGGCCAAACTGGTGAAAAAAATGCATGTTTCTTCAATTTCATTATTTTGAGGAGCACCTGATTTCCCCATGCTGCCTCACAATTGCTATGTGTAAATTTTTATCTAAATTAAGACAAATTTGTTGCCTCCCTGGTTCCTTCACACATCTGGGGGGTTGAGGTACCACTTTTGCATCAGATGTGTCGACAACTCTGGCAGAGTGTAGTTGTCATAGGGCAACGGCTGTTGGGCCATAGATTTCTGGACCTGGGAGAGAAAAACAAAGGGCACAAAGACAATGGTACTCACTTCCACAAATCTTCAGAAATTGCTGCAAAACCATAGAAATATAAGTAACATCATGATGGTTTGTTAGAGGAAAGAGAAGCTAATCGACACAGAAATGGTCATTTAATGCAGAGAAAAAGTAAGACAGACAAATACGGACAACAGGAAAGAAAGAAAAAAAAAGTCAAATCTACCAGTAGTGCTCTTCAACTAGCCAACATCACCTGGCAATATGCTAAGGTAAAAAAACTTTGACAGCACACTCTGTGAGAAAGTAAATAAAGACAACAGTAACACTGAATAGAGAGAAAGAACTGGAGACTCCACAACAAACTTTTGGTTTAGTTTTAGTAAGAGTTTCACAGAAGTTGCAATACAATTTGATCATTGAAGTGCCAAATATATTAGATGCGTTACTAGAGAGTAACATACAAATAAAAGAAGGAGTAAAGATAATGACGATGAATGTTCGATAGGAAAGAAAGCAAACCACAACAGAGCACTCGCCAGCCTCATACAGAAATGAATATTGCATTGTAATTGTATGCTTCCCAGGAACTTGATTTTTGAAATGCTATCAGGTCTGCTTAGGCAATAACACAGATTGGAAAGTGCATAGAGCTTGATGTTGGGTGGGAATTTGTGCCATTCAAGTACAATTAATTATCATCAATATGGTCTCACCTCCTGTATAATGTCTTGGAATTTCAAGTCTCTAGCCCAGTCTGTGACCATCTTTGTTAAGGTGTCAACAAATGGACTTCCCACATTTTTTTGGCGATATGCCTTGTAGCCTGCAGACACACAAAGGAGGAGACATTATCTCTCAACTCTCAACTGCTGTGCTAGATAGTATCTACAAACTACAAGTCTTTGCTTCTGATTCACATTTTCAATAATGTTTCAGCAGACGTTATATTACGATTTTGACTGCGAGACCTTCAAGACTTTTCTTCACATTAATTTACTAATATTATGCATAAGTCTCACGTCACTCAGCTACCTGTGTGCTACTCCAGTCGTCTGTGCATATATTATTGAAAACGTGAATTGGAAACAAAGACTTGTACGTTTTTATCATTATTATTACAGTCCATGCCGGCTTTAAGCACGGTCATCGGGAGAAAGCTTAAGCGTGCTTAAAGCCGAAGCGTGCTTGAGTGCGAAGTAGACATAATCCAGAGATTTTCATGTAGAAAATTTCCCTTGCTATTTCCCTTTGTTTGTAAGTAGGCCTATAGCAGTCCCGCAAAAGTGTGCACTGCTGTTTAGACACTCGCCATGGTAGTTTTTGTTCGCTTGTTTGTTTTTGTTTTGTGGTTGAATGGGAAATGAAAACTTAATTTAGACGGTCAGTCACGATACAGCACACTAGGCACTGTAACACACTGCCTGTGCGTACCACTACCCGCTGTGCCACTCATACCACCGCATTCATCCCACCTCGCGCGTGATACACAATCAGGATTAATGGATAGCGAGGGTCAAAGGTGAAATTGCAGCCAGCCTCCCTTTCTCATATCCCCGACTCTCTTTGTATTTTTTTAGGCCGTGTGTAGCTTTGCCCTAGGCCTAGGCTAGATCCTATGTCCGCGCGCACGGCTGTGTGCATCTCTCTGCCTTCCTCTCCGCCCGTGTGAGTGTGTGTGTCCATCACTTGCGTTCTTTGTGTTTCTCTTGACACACTCCACTGTCATCATGAAAATATTGACTGTCTTGTAAATAAAGCGTGCTTGAAGCCGAAGTTACCGTGCTTATAGGCGTGTAATTTATATAGCAAAAATTCGGTAAGAGCCGTTTAGCGTGCTTGAGTCCGGCATGCTTAAAGCCGGCATGGACTGTATGGTTATTCAACAGTTTGTGAAGTCATGCCGATTGCACTGTGACACTGACATGCATGTATGAAAAGGGTTTCTTTATGTATAAACATCCTATCCACCTGGCTAAAGTATGGGAGGGTATGGAGGTGGGGAAGGTTTCAACCCTGTCAGTATACTTGGACGTCCTACCATTCCTTGACCTGCGATGACTTCCACCTGGGTCTGTGCTAGCTCTTAACTCTTCAACCATGTCTGGATAGTGGCAGCGTCCAGTAGTCAAGGTCCAGAACCATGGCTGGACGGTACCACCCCCCGATACAAAGTTATTATTGTATTATGGTACCGGCTGAATATAAAAAAGTACAAGCTAACAAGCGATTAGTTTGACATGGAAGTCAAAGATAAACGAATTTTACGTCTGGGTGATGCTTTATCGATCAGTTTGACATGAAACAAACGTTTTTAAAACGGGTCGCATTTCCACAAACACAAGAGAATTACGCGGAAACGTAACTTTAATTTGCATGGTGAAAGAGTTAATATTAATAGATAGCATTTGTACTGGGCAAATTCCTGCTCAACAGCAGGCTCTATGCGCTTTACAATTTATATTATTACACCAACAGACCTGATAGCATTCTGAAACAATCTCAACTTCCTGGGAGGCATACAGTGCACTTCACCTAGCACAAAAATATATGTGAGTACGAGTCCTACAAAGGGAGAAGATAAATTTTCCTGCACTCAGCATCTCCATCTTTGTTTTGGGATGTCGTAACCTGCACAGCGTGACTGGGCTCAGACACACAGGGTCAAAGCAGCCCTTCTGCGAAAAGATCTGATTTACGTTGATGGGGATTGTAAAACACTTCATCCACTAGCTGTTCAGAAGCACTATGCCCAAAATTTTGATATTTGATTTTTTTATTGCAGTATTCAAACTGTGGTATTGGTAGCATGTGCTCGAGCAAAATTTGAGACCCGACGTGCTGAAATCAGGCACTTGTAAATTTTGGGGCAAATGGGGACATTGGTATCATCTTAAAGCCTGTTCATTTGCTTTGCTTTGGGTGAAAAAATATCCATCTATGTTAAATAGAAGTTGAGATATTTACGACTCAAGGAGGGGAGGGTTGCTTGGTTTCAGAGGTAAAATTAATGAGAAAATGGCTGCCAAAGTTTGGTAACGTCCACAGCTCAAGAGTCCTTGGAAACTGAAAATTTACGAACATTTTCTGTGCCTTTAATCAATTCTTCTCAGTAAAATCCATACATATATGTGTTTTTAAATAGACGTAAAAGGTGTTGACCCAAAAAAAGAAAATAAGAAAAAAAGTCCAAAGGCCAGAAAAATGCCGGTTCCTTCGATTTCATTATTTTGACGAGCCTCTGACTTCACTACGATGCCACACATTTTGTCAAAATTCAAAAAATCTGAAAGTTGAAAAAATACATGAAGTAGGTAAAATTGTTAACAGAATGAAGCAGGTTTTTCTCTCGACTGAAAAATTTGGCTTTCTTGGCTTAGAATATAAGAACGGCATTCTAACGATTTACAATCATGATGTGATTTCTGTTTTCTGCGTTTATCTCTCTTTTTACCCCTACAGTAAAAAATGACAACCATTGTCCTGCGGTCCGGCTTTTCTATAAACATGAAACTTTACTCAAACTTAGTTTTATTTTCATGAGAGTTTTACAGCACTTGCAACTCAAGCAAGTCATATAAGTGCCGAGGATTAAAGGTGTTAATCGAGAGTAACATACAAAGAAAAGAAGATGAGATTAGCATTTTTCCGTTTTAGATTTTAGAGAAAGATTTTTTAAAAACTTTTACTCATGTTTGGTTTTTCTAAGTTAGGGAAGAAAACTGTCACCCTGGCAGAACCCCATACCAGGTAAGGGACAGGGGACGTTTTTACAGAGTCCATACACCTAGTGCCGTCCCTCTTGCTTACCAGATGCCCACGAGTCCTGTGGCAGTTCATCCCAATAGCACGTAGGTACACTGTGAGATTACGATTTGTGTAAGGCTGATTGACCCACAGTCTTGCGTCCCTTTGGCAGACGGTGAGCCACAGGACTGGTGTTTTTTATTGAAGTATTGCTCCTCTAGATCCATTGTGTTCTGCTCCTGAACTGCATGGTTTAGGTTAGCAGGCGACACCTCGGGAAGGATGTGGTGGCTTTTCACTCATGCACAACAGTCTTGAGCACTATAGAGGTTTGCCAGATCAAAGTGGACTAACTGCTCGAGATGCATGCAACTACCACCAGATAAATCTAGCGGGACCAGGAAGAGAACGAGGGAGCAGCAGGTGTGCTCACTGCCCACAACCCTTAACGTGTACTGCCCCTGGGGAAAAGGCACACAGCAAATCTCTTCTAAAAGAGGAACCATAAAGTACGTCTTGTCTTAAAACCTGAAATGCCTAGATGAGCCTTCATATCCATGAGCACCTACCAATGGTAGAAGAATGTACATGTCCGGAAAGCAGGGATGTTGCTTCCTGAAACAATGAACAATGAACAATACAGAAAGTTTTACGGCACTTGCAATACAAATAGGTCACATAAGGGCCAAAGATTAGAGGTGTTACTAGAGAGTAATACACAAAGAAAAGAAGGAGAGATAATGATGATAGATGTTTGATAGGAAACAATGAACAAACCACACCACAGCACCTGCCAACCATCCACACGGTAAGTCAGACAGTACACAAAAGAGTGAGAGGGAGAATGTGATATGCTGACAAGATGCTACGTAAGCATATTTCTTGCCGCTGAGGAAGGTAAAGGCACACAGTAAATTTCTTCTAAAAGAGAATCCGCAAAGTACGCCTAGTCTTAAATTCTGAAACGCCTAGAAGAGCCTTCATATCCATGAGCACCTACCAATGGTAGAAGAATGCACAAAACACATATCTGAAGCCGCTGCCCTGTGGGGAACAGCTGCCGCCCCGACAGAATTGGCTGAAGGAGTGTCTGCACCATCTGTCGTTATCTGGGAGGGCCAGGAGAGGTGCTGGGCACTTGCAGGCCGGTCGTCTTCCACTGTAGCAACGAAAACAACAGACAAATGGATTACTGTTTTGGCTTTTTAAAAATAGTTTTAGTAAGCAGCTTAAAGCACTTGCAACACAATTAGGTCATATGAAAACCAAAGATTAGAGGAGTTGTAACAAGGGAGTTACAAATATAAAAAAGGAGGAGGAGAGATCAGGAAGGTAGATTTTTGATAGATAGGAAAGAAGGAGCAAACAACAACAGAGCATCCGGCAACTACCAACAATGGATCATCAATCCCATCAGCTTTATCATGGTCCAAAGTTTAGTAAAATAAAAAGTATACAGACGAATGGATTATCATTTTTCATCGCAGTCGAAAAGTTCTGGAAAACATCCCCTCCCTCCCTCCGAATAAACAGTTTTTAAAAGTACACCAATAGCTCCATATGCCCAAAAATTGATGAGCGCCTTATTCGACCGTGTTATGACACACAAGGAAAACAGACAACTATTAAATGAACAAACCTCCTCTACATGCTTGGATGATGAAGAGCTTAGGTTTTCCATTCATGCTCGGGCAACTCTCTGGCTTGAAGGCCTGGATGAGGTCAAACTTGGTAATGTACGTGTCTGCGATGGGTGTGCCATGAACTACCTTTCCATCTGTGCCAAACAGGAGGTCATTGCTACCTCCATGGGTCAAGATGACCACAGCCATGGTGGAGGCTGTCTTCAGCCGATCAAATCTGGCAAACAGCTGAAGCAACTCTTTCATTTTCTGCAAAAGAAGTTTAGCTTTCCTTTTAGTAAGACTTTTGGAGGTCTGGCAACACAAATGGGTAATATTACTAAAAGACAAGTGATGAGGATTAGAGGTGTAACCAGAGAGTAACAAAAAGATAAGGAGGAGAAATAAAGATGATTGATGTTTGATAGGAAAGAGGGAGCAAACCACATCTGCTAACCATCCATTGAAAAAGGAGCAACAACAGGTATTTTTTCTCATTCTATATTGTGTTTCCTTGCTTGACTTTTTTATATTCTTAAAGCTTTAGAGCTTCAACTTGCTATATAAATAAAGTGACAAACGAACTAAAGTGCTTGTTTTAGGTCATATATTCTCTGAAGGCTCACACCATTTCAAAAGAACTTCCTCGGTCACCCAGATTGTTCCAAATGATTATTCAGGTCATTGGGAGACATACAGTGTAGCAGCCAGATAAACACACGTCCTAACCATTAACATATTCCATCATGACCTATAAACACCTTCAAATCTCTGAAGGCCTGCTACATGTACACACAAAGGATCCATGGGTCCCTTTCCCTTTCTACTAACATAATGACATTTCCACCTGCACTGCTTTAAAAGAAACTCTAGAAGAAATATCTCTTTAAAATGTACTTGTTTCCAGGCCCTTATCGACACAATTTAGCTCATTCAGGAGGTGGGCTTCAACCCTGCCTGTCAAGGCCAAACCCACAGAAAGACTGAGATACTTCATGGGAATTGATCTCGGATCTTCTGTGTGCGATGGCAAATTACCTCACTGCTACACCAAAGATCCGATGTAGGCCTACTAGTCTAGATGCCTCGTTCTGACCACAACTTTTTCAAGACTTTCTCTCTGCAGCATAGTTCATCTTCTAACAGTCGAAACTGTCTAAGACAGCCACCATTTGTCACAGGGAAAAGGTGGCCATTTTAGACAGATGGATGTCTTACATAATGCCAATATCATGTTTAACCCTATCCGTACGCCTGGGGTCATTTTGCTTCCCAGGGGTTGCGTTCTTTACATTTTAGAATACTTCTAGTGCAAAGATCTCTTTGAAACTTTCAGTATTACTAAAAAATAATTTTGACAGACTGCTATGCAAAGCGTACATACTGGATTAACGAGTAAATATCCTCTTCGGAAAATGGGGCCAAAGAGTTCCCCACGTCGTACGGATACGACAGTAAAACACAACGTACGGAGAGGGTAAAAAAATGTAATGGGGAGAAATGAGAAGTGGCTGTTTGTACAGGTGGCTGTCTTATGCAGGTGGCTGTCTTATGCAGGTGGCCATCAGAGCAGGTTTGACTGTACTTCATCTTTTCTGCTCACTTTTAAGGTAACTTCAAATCTTTAACCCCGGAATCATTTCCCATATTTCTACGGAATTTTTTCCAGACCTCGTGAAACATGTAAATCATGATACACGCAAAATATTCGTAAAATGGCTAAAACAGTGTCAGAGTAAAATACGAAGTAGTTTACACTATACCTTTATCTAACACCTCTGAGTCAAAATTAAGTTATTCGAATTCGTAAGAGATTGCATTAGCAGTAATGCTTTGTGCACCCTGCGATCTGACCGAATGATGGGACAGTCCATTCGAGGACTGGGCGAGTTTCACTGGACGCTCCCATCGTCCACTCAGGGTTATAGAGTTAAGATGCCCTAAACACACATAATGCCCCCAAGTCCTGGTCTTTCTAAGAGAAGTGAAAGGAATGGAATGACATAAACCTAGAAACAGAGCTGTGATAAACAAAAGAAAAGCACCAACAGTTCTCTACCAACCTGCACATACCTCGGACTGAACAAGGAATCTTTGCACGAGAGGCAAGCACTTTACCTAATGACTAGCTGGCCCTCTAGGTACACAGAGTGGGTTCAAATCCTGACAGGAGCCTGACATTTAAAAAATCTTGGGAAATGCACTTAACATGAATTTTCCTCACTTCATAGAGGTGGGAATGGGTACCCGTCAATAGACAGCAAAAGATCTTGTCAGTTTGTTAGTGTTTTAGACTGTGTAATCTGCCACTTTCACAGCGTGCTTCCTAGGAGACAATGAATATTTTGGAGTGTTCTAGGGTCTGCTGAGGTTATAATACATGTAGTAGTAAAGCGCACACAGTATGCATTATATGAATGCAAATATTATGATAATTATAATAATAATAATTATTATAATAAAATAATAATAATAATAATAATAATAATAATATATAGTTATTGTTATTATTATCATCAATAATTATGATTACTACTATTATCAGTACTATTATTATTATTATCATTAATACTATTATTATTGTTTATATTATTATTATTGTTATTGTTATCATTATTGTTACTTTTATTAGGCCCTACTATTGTTATTTTTTTTTTTTAAAGATCACCCAGTAGGAGGTACAACTCATCGCATGGAGGTGAAACACACATAAATGTCTGCTATCAGTCGCTGTGGTGCATTGTCTTAGGCTTTGTCCCTTCTTCCTGTTGCTATTTAACCACAAGGCAAATTGTTCTAATTACCTATTTAAGTCAAGTACCACAAAATTCAAAATTGCCTATTTGAGACCTGTTACTAAAGATTCAAAATTGCCTTTTTGAGTCTACTTGATCAAGAATCAAAATTACCTATTGTAGTCCAGTTACTCAATATTTAAAATGATCTTTTTGAATCTAGTAGGAGTTCAACTCAAAAACAGAACAAAGAATCTAAAAACAAATTTCTCTAGATTGAATAAGGCCAGACATTTTAAACATGAGTAAATGAGAAGAAAAAAAAAGTGGAGAAATCCTTACTGCTGTGTTGCAATTCTCCTCCAAGGAAACTTGAAAGCCCAGAAATTTGAACATGTGAAAGAGTTTGGTGCGGTCAGATTCACTCCAATGTCTCTCAGGCAGCGTGTCAAACTTTTCGTTATTGATGATGAGCACAAAGCCACGCGGGTGGGAGTCCATAGCATACACCTGAACATAATGGTCAATAAAATAAGTAGTACCAGAGCTACTATTTTACTGTATTCATTTTAGTACAGGATAGTAAATATTTAAAAATAGCCAAAACAGGTAAACTTTGAAAACATCAAAACTGGGTAAACATATTAATAAGTTGAAAAAGTCTTAAAGTACACCCCCCCCCCTTCTATAACTCATCTTAGGACAAACATTACCCATCACTCCTAAAGTTCGAATCCACAAGAGAGAGAAGAAAGGAAAGAAGGCCTAAAAATACTCTGAGGAGGGAATTAGATTTGGGCCCAAAGGAGATGGGTTACAGCACGACAGGAATGGAGACTATATCCGAGGACGGAAGTGCATGGAGAGCTCTTGTGGGTGGTCTATAATCCAGCATGGGGTGAGAAAGGCTGATAATGACGATAACTCATCTTGAGGAAACTTGTCTTCCAGTTGCATAGATAAACTACCTTAATATATATATATATATACAAACAAAAACCAGTTGATTTTGGATAATGAACAATATAGCACCAACATAAACAATTAACACGTCTTCAATGAGCAATTTTATATGAGACCCACTGGGTCCTTAAGGACATGTCATGATTGTCAATTTACAATACGCTAAAACAAAGATTTGTTTATGTTTAAGTGTGCATTTACAGCACCTGCAACAAGGTAAGGTCATACAAGTGCTGGGGATTAGATGTGTTACAAGAGAGTAACAAAACAAGAAGAAGGATGGGAGATAAGGAAGACAGATGTACATCTCTAATAAAGAATCTGAAGAGTCACACTTACTGAATTGGGATTTTTCCTCCTCTTCTCTGCATATTTATTGTTACCTCCTGCAAAGGACAGGAAATAAAAAGTTTGCGCAAAATAATATTTAAAAAAATCTTTCTCACAAAAATATCAAAAACACTATCGCCCATGTTCGAAGTTTTCATTGTACACAGCCTTTTCATTAGGCCTATCCTCAGGATTTTAAAACTATTTACTGTAAGCCATAGATGAAAGCAAGTACCTAATCTCTCTTTAGTTTTAGTAGAGGTTTTACGGTGCTCACAACTGCTTAAGGTCATATGAGCGCCAGAAGATTAGAGGTGTTACAAGAGAGTAACGAACATAAAAAAAAAGAAGGGGAGATAAGGACGAAAGATGTTGGATATGAAAGAAGAAGCAAACCACACCAGAGCACCCGCCAACCACCCACCCTAATCTCTCTGATCACATGTAAAAATTGAGATTACCTTATGGTACAACAAATGTGAGGCAGGATGGTGAAATCAGGTGCTCATTAAAATATGCAATCAAGGAAACTGGCATTTTTCTGGCCATTGGGCAGTTTTTAAATCGAATTTTCTTTTTTTGGCTCAATACCTTCTATGTCCATGTAAGAACACATTTCTGTGTTGATCTTACAGAAAAACGATGATCAAAGGCAAAAAAAAATGTAAATTTGCAGTTTCCGAGGACATTTAAGTTTTGGAAGTCATAAAACTTTGGTGGCCATTTTCTCGCTAATTTTACCTCTGACATCGGGCAACCCCAACCTCCTTCAATCACATATCATATATCATGACTTCTATTCAAGAAACATGGGTTGTTGGGTTTTTTTGACAAACGCACTACAAATGGACAAGCTTTAAGATGATACCAATAACTCCATACAAGCAAAAATTGATGAGCGCCTGCTTCCACCGCACCGTGACACTAAAGGCTGCCTCAGACATGAGGTACATATGTTTAAGTAAAAAAACCCAATAAACTATGAATTCCAAATCAAGTTGGGCTTTGAGTTTAAGAACCTAGAGCAGATTACCCCTGACACCTGGAGAAAGAGTGGGAGCATGGGGAGGAGGAAGAGAAGCAGGAAAATAAAGCAGAGGAGGAAAAGGTTATTGGCACCCAAAATTAGACACCCACACTCACTGATAACTGAACACCGATTTTTTCTTTTTCTTTTTTGTGCACGTTCTGTTTTTCATGATCGTTTTGAATTCAGGACTTGAGTCATGCAGTGTCGCGTGTGCCAATGTTATCTCATTCACTACCAGGGGGTTTTCCTCGCCTGGGTCACAGCTCGCCGTAGTAAGAGAGTTATAGAGCCCCTTTTAACATTTCGTGAACAACTTGAATTTGAGATTTGTATAAAAATCGCCAAAAAAAAAAAAAAAAAAAAATTCTAGTCATGTGCAACCCCCCACGCTCCATAATCCCATTAAGGAAAAGTCTGGCCCACCAACCTCTCTGGACAGGAGAAATTCCTCCCATGGAATGGTGGGACCTCGGACTAGATGCTGAAGCTCTGACAAGTCTCTCTGCTTCCGGGTCCTGCAGACACATATCAGGATCTCTTGGTGAGGCCCCTTTGAACTCCTTGCAAACCTCCAACGCAGACCCAGACACTGGTGGCCTTGACTGGGGACTTGAGGTCAAACTTCCTCCTCCTCCTCCTCTAGGTACGCTGACCAGAGCAGGTTTCATGGCTTGGGTGTCATGTGCTCTTGCTGCAAGGTTGGCAGACTGAGACCTGCTGTGTGGAGGAGCTTTTTGTTGAAGTGCAGACAGACCTGGGAGTCTCATGCCACTGCTGGTTGACCCTGGAGGACAGGATGTTTTAACCTGCTGCAATGGAAGACAAAGCAATTTAGTACACAAATATTGCACTTAACTCTTTATCTCCCAGGGGGGTAAACCCACTATGCCAGGGTCCTCTTTCGATATAAAATCTAAAAGTGACATATACGTCATCAAATCAGAACAAGTGAAACTATTTTGATAATTCTTCATCCAATGAATGCACTTCCGGTAAAAGAGACCTGGTTTTGGCCACTGGTGAAAAGTAATTTGTCGTAGAAGTCAGTCGAAAATAATGTGTTTGAGCGGCTGCCAGCGGATCACCGGCACAGCGGTTCCGACCGCGAGCCGCTGGGAGTGTCTTGCCAGAGAAGTGGATTTAATGATATGAATATGTTAGGGGTCCCAGCTTAGAAAAGGTTGTGAAGTTAAAGAGACAGATTCAGATTCTTACTTCGATTCACCTTGGCTGTTCATAAATATCATGTGAGTCTCCCCTAGTTCTGTCCAGAAAATTGAGTTCTTCAGCAAGACAAAAACATAACCTTACTCGTATTAATCCACTAAGAAACTGGTAACAACAATATACTGCACACAGAGCAAAGAAAAATGTAAAAAATAAAGATGCACTCTTTTGAGTACACACATTAAACATTTTCCTATTGGAAATAGGCCATACAGTGATGCAAACCTGATCCACCATTCATTATTATCGAGATTTGAGACAAAGAAAATGCTACAACTCACATTCATTTCTACTTCTTACTCATGAAAACTGAGTTTCGGTTCTATGCAGAGTGTATTATAAAAGTAAAAGGGAAATCAAAACCAATGCAATAGCTAAAAAAACATAAAAACTTCTTGCACATAGTTCTCAATGTGCTGTCTAAGGATTGAGATAGTGAACTTTTGTTTTAGTAAGTGTTTTACAGCATTTGCAACCAAATGTGGAGTAAGCGCACCTTTGGACAGGGAGAGAGAACGCACCTTTAGAATAGATATTGTGACGTAGGCCCAACGGACATATCCCGTGACTGACACCTTACGTGACATTGGGCAAGGCATAAGTAAACTGAGTAGCACTCACTCGCTGGAGCAGGAACAAGTAACATCGGATAATCAAGAACTAGCTGAAGAAAAGTAGGTGGGGCCCCACCAACATCAACTACATCTAGATCTACTACTGCAAGACTCAAGACTCAACAAGTAAGTCATAACATAACACACAATACGGTCAATTAAGTGCCGAAGATTAGAGGTGTTACAAGAGAGTAACAAACACAAAAAAGAAGGAGGAGAGATAAGGACGACAGGAAAGAAGAAGCAAACCACATCAGAACACCCGCCAACCACTCACATGGTGAGTTTAAAAGAAGAATACAATGGTGAATCAAAATATAGCACTCACATTTACTTTACTGGCACTCAATTTCTCATCATAATCAGCTCTGATTTTATCTGCCAACCAGTAATGATCCTCAGCAATTGCATCAATGAAATCTTCAAATCCTTTCCGATCCAGCGTCTTCGCCTTCTCACACAGGTGGATGATGGTGTAGAAATAAGGTTTCTTGGCCTGATGACAATTTGTGAACATTCTTCAATTAACAACCGAACATGTTCAACAAAACAAGATATAAAGAATAAAGGATAAATCTCAAGCAATTTGACTTTTTGTTCTGATCTTAGACATCAAGGCTTCTACGTTCTTCTCTTGTTCCACATTCTTGACAGCCATTGCAGCAAAGAAAATAAAAACATCTGAAAAAAAAACTACAATAAAAAGGTTGTTCCCCCTTCGAAATAGCCTTTTCTCCTATGATTCATGCGCTTGTTGGGGGATGCAATAGAATTCACCCCCAGTGATGTCATAACTCTAATAATAAAAAGCTCGATCCTGAACTCATCCCTCTTAACTTGTAATCAAATAATTTAAGTTAGGACAGTAAGTGGGATATTGAATTTGGTAAATGATTGTTCAATCTCTGAGAATTGCATGTGAGTATATTTTTACGAAGCAAGAAGCTAGTTACCCCTATTCAATACAGGGAGGTGGGAATAGGACTACATGTGAGGCATTGTGGTGAAATCAGGCTCTCGTCAAAATATTTAAATAAAAAAGATACGCCATTTTTCATCCTGTTGGGCAATTTTAATCAAACTTTTTGTTTTAGGCATAACACCTTTTAGGTTCATTTTAAAGTATATTTCTACCTTCACTTTCTTGAGAATAATTGATTAAAGGGACAAAAATATTTCCAAGGATGCCACAGCTTTGGAAGTCACCAAACTTTGGCGGCCATTTTAACTTCGGACACCAGGTGACTGCATACTCGTTTAATCACAAATATCTCAACTTCTATTCACGACAAATGGGTATTTTGTTCATCACAAACAAGGCAAAAGAACAGGCTTAAAGATCATACTAATATCTCCATACAAAAACTTACCAGTGCCTGATTCCAAAGAGTCGTGGCACATTTTGTTTTATGAAATCAGTAATTAAAATGGGACTAAAATCAATGAGGGCTTAGATAAGTATCTTTTCAGTGTAACAGTGTAAAACTCATTCTCAATAGTAATTTTTTTTGGGCGAATTCTTTTTTCACACTACTCCAGTGTTATAGGTTTAGTTTGTCTCTTTATCTCTGTTTAGCACACAGGCCAGCTTCCTCAGTACAGTGGATGTCGCATTCAACGAGGTTGCCGGGACTGGCTTGTAGTCCTCGTTGGATCCGACCTCTCGTTGAACGTGACTAAAGCTAAAGAAAAAAAAGGAGACATTTTATTATTTTACACGATGTACAAATACCAGTAATTAAAACAGTTGTTCCCCCTGATTACGAAACTCTCAAACAGCATCAGTGTGCGTGTGTTTCAGCTGTGTTCTGACTGTCATTTTTGCATTAATTTTTTTTTTTTTGCGGAACACTTCTCGTATGGAAACATACCCTCTCACATCTAAGCTTAGATCTATGGTACATAAAGTAAAAGCCAGAGTTTGGATTTTCTGATCCGGGGAAGAAAAGCAACTTTGAAAAAAAATGAGGGTCAGGATCTAGACCTAGAATTCATCCAGTTTCACACAGCCCGCATCGCGTTCCCATCCTCCCCCTCCCATCCCTACCGGAGGCTAACCATCGCCCATCCTTTTGGCTTTGGGGCCCATATTAGGAGGCACACTAGATCTCGCAATACAATGTGTTAGGAATCGACGGTGGGCCTTGTGCTTCCCGTGAGATGTAGAGAAAGGAGAACAATTCTTCGCTTTTAGGGCCGCTAATTGCTTTTATTTATTTATTGCGACCTCTTTGAAAGCGACTTCGGTCTGTCATTTACAAAGAAGTATAGAGGAAAAATCGGGGATTAAGGACTGCCTCGTTGGAGCCAACTTCTCGTTGGATGTGACCTCGTTGAATGCGGCACCCACTGTATTCATTTTCAGTCATGTGATTTTTCTGGATGTAAAGTTTTCACTGGCCCAGAATTCAAGTGGAAAGCCTGAAGATGAAATGTGTAACGGCGCGGTGGAATCAGGCGCTCGTCAATTGTTAGGCAAGTGGGGCTTTTGGTATTATCTTAAAGCTTATTCGTTTGTCTTTCTTTCAATGAAAACATCACCCATCTATCTTCAATACAAGTCAAGATATTTGCTATTGAAGGAGATGGGGGTCGCCGGGTTTCAGAGGTAAAATTAGCGAGAAAATGGCCGCCAAAGTTTGGTAACTTTAATAGCTTGAGAGCCCTTGAAAACTGAAAAATGACATATTTTGTGCCTTTAATCAACGTTTTTCAGTAAAATTCACATGGAAATGTGTTTTGGTATGGACATTAAAGGCGTTGAGCCAAATAACAAAAATTTGATAAAAATTGCAAAACAGACGAAAAAATGTCTGTTTCTTCGTTTTCATTATTGGCCGTTGCATTAATACAGAACGCAAAAAAAAGTTTTCTGCTATCACATGAACATCCCCAAGCCCCCACGCACATCATGTAAGCATTAGATAAAACTACTTAAGTCTCATTTTAAACTTAATTCACATTGACAAGGAGTGAGTTCGAGATCAGTTTCTTTGACAGGTGACCTTTTTTTTTTTTGCGAGGGGGGAGGGAGAGTGTAAGTCCTGAAACCCCGTTGTTGGGGGGTCACTGAACTTAACATCCTGGCCAACAAGCAGAAAACATCATTGAAAATATTCTAGCATATTCTGTAACTTCAAAGACAGAGCTTGGGTTCAGAATGACTCATTAACTCACAGAATCATTATGTACTTGGAAGTCAGACAGCATAAAATAGCTGACACACACACATTCATCCACTGTACACACCTCTGCCACCTGGAGGTCCAATGTCGTAAAGACATTACGCTGCACTAAATAAGGACGCAGTTCTTCGTAGTCTACAGTCTTTGCAATTTCAATTTGGTGCTGGTTCAAAACTCCTGCAATGAGTCTTGAGTAAGTAAGACCGTCTCCCATTTTCACTGCAAAATGACACCAAGAGAATGCAATAAAATGATTGATTCATTGTCTATAATTTAACACTCTGCTTCCACTCAGTGTCAATTTAAATAATCAATAATCAGTACCTAGACCTCGACAATCAAAATACATATACAGTAAAACATAATAAGTGGCCTATATGGTCACAGGCACAGTCAGGGCTTTCCTTTTAAATATGTACAAATAAATAATGAATTAAAAATAAATTTTTAGTATCGCCTTAAAATTATTGTCTACAAAGGGCCAAATGGAAGCGTTCATTATATAATAAAAACAAAAAAGTAAGTCTAGCCTTAACTAGGGTACAAAACACAAATACATACATGGCGATAGTCGCAAACCGTTTAAGTCCTGAAACACTACTTTTGAGATAAAACAAAAAAACCCATTAAAATTTCTCTTTATCAACACATTATTTTATTTTTGATTCTGACTCTAACAGAATGTTACCTCTGAATAATTGCATAATTTTGAAGGTCAAATTTTTTAGATTCTATAAATTCAGACTTACACGTTTTGTGGTCTCAGAATTTACTGCAACATACACAATAAGGGAGTTACACAGTTTGACTCTCAAGTAAAAACTGAGAGTTACATAAGTTGCGCCTACAAAATATTTTTAATGAAATGTTAATTAAATAAATAAATTCAATTCATGATCATGATGTAGAAATGCAAGAAATAATGTTCTATTTTGAGAGAGTATGGGCCTACGTTACGGTATTTTAGTGAAAGTCACTCCACTCGGGTGATAGAGGTCCAGAGTTTGAGTTTTGACATCTGGCTCCAACTATTGAGTCACAAAGCAAAGAAAAAAGGGCACTACAGATAAAACACTGATATAGACTACCCACGCTCATGGTACTTTACAATGGCATTTTACTCCCCTGGTCGACAACACAGTATAGATTGAACCTGACCAACAGTCTGTTAGCCTGTTACGCATATTATGTAAGTAATAATTTTACTTAACTTTACATCGCCGTAACTACTTGTTAGACTCTGTTGAACCAACACTACTGACCACACAGTTACAGATGACATGCGACATGCATAACATACATGAAAATAACGAGTGTGTGTAAAAAAACGAATTTATTAAGATTCTCCATGACTCAAATAAGATTCTCGTTTGGCTTTAAAAACCGAAAATCCCAATCTCAAGAATATCTTTCAAGTGTTGGGGTCAATTAAAATTTTTTTTTTAATCAGAAGAAAGATTTTACGCTCAATAATAAATCTACATGACTTGAATCGTGTTTTGTATGTCTCCATTCAAAACAAAAGTCAGGCTGGAGTCAGTCACTGTAACGGTCAGATGCTTAGCTGTAGCACACAGGAAGCCAGAGTTCGATTACTGAGTGCTGGAATGTCGTATCCCTCTCAGCCCGTGTTGGCCTGACAGGCAGGGTTGAAAGCCCACTTTTACTAAATGATCAAAATCTTAAAATGAATTTTAGGAACAAAAGTTGGAATTTAATGCTTTAAAAAAAAAAAAAAAGTTGGTATCCACTAAATGCGACCATTTAAATACGATAAAGCATCATAAAATGCCTGCAAATCAATCAGAAGATTGAGTAGTTTGGGATTTTCAGTTGAACATCACAGCTCCTTTTTCTGTTGGATTTTGTCATATTTTGGCAAAGGCAAAGGTGCCCAGTCGCCTGTGAGCTCCAGTTTATAAAACGTGGTTCCACAAGGATGGTATTACAATATTTTAAGATTGGTGGCATTAGCATCCCCTGCACGCTTTCCGGGCTTTATAGACTCAGGTACACTAAAATCTCTGTAGTTAGAGAACATGTTGTTTAAATACGGAACATCATATGTGTAGGGTTTGTGCGAGTCTCATTTATAAACTTGACATTGCCAGATGGTTTGTGACTTTCAGCGCCCTTAATTCTGTTTTTAATAGTTGCATAAACTGAATCCACTTACGTATTATAACCTTTTTCTAAATACTTTTATTTGATGATTTTGTGATGTGCCATCCTGAAGAGTCCCAAAATGGTTGCCATGACTTCCTGTCTAGTCTCATAAAAGTAGCCATCTCAAAATGCATCATATTTTTTAAAATCTTGTAAGTACAAAGGAAGGTTACCAAGCAAGATGAAAACATGTTACCCCTTCAAACTGGTTCTGAATATAAAACATGACAACACGGGTGTGAAGGTTAAAGATGCTGAAGTTGTAGACTTGGGAGTTTCGCTTTGTAACGTAAGACCAAAGCTAGTAAAAATGGAGCAAGAATTATACGTTGCACATATATGACCACCAGTTCGGCTTCAGTATTTGCAGCAGCCTCGTTGTCTTTCTTTTTTATCTCTTGTGCTACCTCTTTTTTCACCTGTGAGCATTATTGTTGCCTATTTTTCATCTTGAGCTGCTTCTATGAAAGGACTATGACAGGCGTCAACAGCGTGAGGGGCTGATTCAAAATTTATGACAAAGCATTGGGCAATGCGAGACCACGCCTGGCCGCCTGAGGCACGCAAGTTTGACAGTGGGTTGAAAAAAATAAGGTCCCCCCCGAACCCTCTTTCTTGTTTTTCTCTTTTGTTCTTTCGTGTGTGTTAATTTGTGTTATACTTTAAACAATCTCAGCAATTCTTGTTCCATAAATTTAGCCTGTACCTCCTCTTTTCCTCCCCAAACAACAAAGTTGTACACACACAACATACACACACATGCACATACACACACACATGCACACACACACACACACACACACACACACACACAAACGCACACATCCACACCCCAAGCAGTCGACAATGAAACCAACCTCGCATCCCCGAGTGACAAAGCCCATCACGCCGTAAGTGGCAAAGCGGGCCCACCACGGCGCAGAAAAAAAGCCCAAAGAGTAAGTGCAATATCTTGAGATAATCTTTGGCATTACGGCACGGAATTGCATGCATAGCAAAGTATGATACAGTGGAACTCTGATTCAACGAGCTCGGATTCAACAAGAACTCGGATTCAACGAGATGAGATAGATTCCCCGTTTTTTTTCTTCTTTAAAATCAATAAAAATAACCCGGTTTCAACGTGTACTTATATCAGCGAGCTCGGATTCAACGAGGTCGCTTCCAAGGTGAACAGCCCCCGCAGACGTGGCTTTGCTCATTTTTCTCCCAGAACGAACTTTATCTATTCCCGGAAACCATCCATTGCACTTGCATTGTGAACCATTATTCACTCAGCTGATTGCATGCGACCTGTTAGCGGGCTTTTTTCATACCAACACATGCGTTGTTGACACGCGCACATGTCTACTCTAGCGTGTATCAGGGTCCGATAGGCGGCCTGCACACGTGTGGCGTGTTCGGGGGGGGAGAGGCAGCCGTCCGAACGCTGAACGTCGCAGATACAAACGCGTCACAGTCTTTTTTCCCCCTCGGTAACTGATCACTATTACAATGATAAGCTAGACTTGACGTAGATCTACATAATGAATTGTGTGGTGGTCTATGGAATCAAATGTTGCCGTATGCTAGGCTCTACCCAGCAACACAACTTTTTGATAAACAATCAAGATGACACAGGCGTGTGCATTTGAACGAATGGGGTCTTTTTTTACACAGCTCATAATATGCAGGCATTTCAGGCACTACTTGTGACTTCTCTTTATATATTACTTGCTTAGTGCCCGTAATTATCTACACAAAACCTCATGTTTGCTTTAACGAACACTCGGATTCAACGAGATTTTAGGTCAGGCCCGGCGACCTCGTTGAATCCGAGTTCCACTGTACCTTGCAAGCAATCGCGTGCATACCGGAAAAAAAAATGTATTAGAGCAGGCAACTGCGTGTGTATAGCAAAGAATGTGTTGGTGTATGTAATTGCATACGTATGGACACTCACGTTAGTCACGAAGGGGTTAACCTCATACGCGTTGACAAGATTCTTGATCTAATCTAGATCTAGTTGACATTCGTAGAGGTGTCTGTAAGTTTTGGAAAGTTGAGGCTGCCATTATTCTGCCCCCTGGGGTGCCAATAATCTGGTCATTATTCTGCCCCCTGTCTATTGCAAAGAGTGGCTTGGAGAAAAAAAAACCGAAGTGACTATTTCTCCGAACGTTCGGAGAAATAGTGCCGATCTTTATTTCTCCGAACGGTTTCCGGCTTCTGGTCTCGTGATTTTTTGCCTATTTATTGCGAGAGTTCGGCGCCAACTTTCATTCTGCCTCTGCCTCTGGTCTGGGAAGGAACACCGCATGGCAGGCAGGGAAGCCCGCCTACAGACAACCTTTAGTAACACCCACCACCATCATGCACATGTACATACACAAACTTATACACACACTAACTAAACATGATCAGTGGGCAACTTTTGAACGTATGACGAGCTGAGCTGTGGATGGAGAGACAGTGTGAGGGAAAGAGAAGGTGAAAGGAAGAATGTACGAGTGTATCCACAGGCGACAGCAACTACAAGACTACGACACCGACCCCCTTGGCCTGGTCCACAACTCACGAACGAAAGGAATACAGCGAAGACAGTGTTTTGCCTATATTATTGTCCATGATTCGCAGGGTGCAAGGGAATGAGTGAGATTTTCTTTGTGTGTGCCTTGAGGGAGGGGGTGGGGTGTGAAAGTCATGCGGACGGGAATGAGCCGCGGGAGAGAACACGGGAATTGAATGAATGAAGTGAAACTGAAAGAGAAGAACGACTCATGAGCCCAGGAGTGAATGGATCCTGTGTTTCTATTTTTGTATACTTTGAACTGTTACTGATTAAAGGCTGAAATAAAGCCCGAAAAACAAACACACGCACGCTCCTCATTCTCCACTTACACACTTTCTACCACACACAGACACACTAACACACGCACATGCACACACACACACACACACACACACACACAAACACACACACAAATACACACACAGGAGCAAATTTTTAGGTCTATACCCATTTCAATTTTCAAGAGCTAGTCTAGCTAGTCTAGAGATTTTTAGATGAGTGTAAAAAACGGGAAAAAGAAAGGTTTCACAACAGAATGAAATCAAAATTAGAACAGCCCATAAACAACCACAAAAATTAACAAATAAGGGCGTGAGTTCTGTCCTAAGAAGATTGGCTGTTTTAACCCTAAATGTGCGTAATTTTAAAACAAAGTACAGGTTATTACATGTAAATTATGGAATCGCACACATTAAGGGGCCTGCCAGTGTCAGTACATGTGATCAGTTTTGGTGGAATGTACGCTCTAACATAACACATTTAAATCTATATATTAGACAGGGGTTATTGCTTTGTGTGATAAGGGTTGTGTGTTATATATATATACAGTCAAACCTGTGTAAGACGGCCACCCATTGTCAAGGAGAAAAGTGGCCGTATAAGACAGGTGGCCGTCTTAGGCAGGACTGACCAAGGTGAAGAAAACAAACCATTCCCATCTGAGGTCCCAATCAAAAGTAGCTGCATTATTGTTGTTGTTGTTGTTGTTGTTGTTGGTGGTGGTGGTGGTTTGTATTTTGTTTGTAATTGTTATTTTGTTGCTGATTTTGCACAAGGGTGACAATAAAACGAAATGTATCAGACGAGGAAGACCGAGTGCCATGTTAAAACAAACACATGGGTCGCCACCACTCGGAGAACAAGCGACGCTTCTGTCACAAGCTCATGTTGACGTCCTTTTTTACTTTGTTACAGACTGGGTAAACAGTGACCATGTCATCTCACTTACGATTTGTGTATGAGTTCTGGGCGGGGCTTATGGGTTATGAGGGATCACACGCTTACCTCACCAGCAGCTGAAAATTGGTAGCTATTGGTCAACAGTGGGAGGGGCCTACGCAACATGATCGATTGGAGGGACTACCTAACAACAACGACAGGTGATTGAATTATGACGGCTCGCCCACAACGCCAGGGTTCAATGCACAATTTATGACAAAATGTAATAGAGTCACTCAGGTGGCCGTCTTAGACAGGGGTTATTGCTTTGTGTGATAAGGGTTGTGTGTTAAAATATGGTGGCCACGGCCGCGTTGGACAGGTGCCCGTTTTACACAGTTAAATTATATAGAAAAAACGCAAGGGGGGAAATGGAAAGTGCCTGTTTGTACAGGTGACCGTCTTATAGAGGTGGATAAGGGCAGGTTCGACTGTATATATATATATATAATCTAATGCAGGTAGGAACATCAAATTAAATGACATTACACTATACAACAACACCCCCCCCCCCCTTTTTTCCCGACAAAAAAATTGAGAGAAAAACAACACATCAGAACAATAACAGAAAGAAAAAAATACACACTAACAAAATAAAACACCACAAAGAGGGATTTAAATAAAAGTAACTGTAACGTATTCAACAAATCAACGTGGTGACAAACAAGTGAGAAAGAGACGAAGTGAAACTAGGTGAACTTTCTTTCAAAAGTAAAGAGGTTCGGTTTCTTTCTTTTTTTCTTTCTTTTTAATTTGACTTTTATTCCCCGATTTGGGGACCAAAAAATGCCAAAAAATCGAGCCACGATTGATTGGTCGCGGCCGCGACAAACGTAGGTATACTAAATATCTATGCTAGTTCTATGTGTCGTTATCAATAACCCTCCGTAGATCTAGATCTAGATCTAGATCTAGACAACACACAAGTGAACACAATACATTATTAAGTTTAAGAGCAGCACCCTTCATAGGCAACACGTCTATATCTGTAGCGAAAAACTGTTTGGAACTGTAGCATTTCTTTATATATTTACTGCGTCCATTTTTTGGACATATTGAACCATATTGTATACGAACAATCTTTGGTAGGCCTATACTATAATTTTATATATATATATATATATATATATATATATATATAATATATATCCGAAATTTGTGGAAAGGATGTGATTTCAGAGTGTTCGGAGAAATAGTGCCCAGCTTTATTTTGCCGAACGTTCGGAGAAATAGTGCCCAGCTTTATTTTGCCGAATGTTCTGAGAAATAGTGCCGGCCCCCTAAAAAAAAAAGGGGGGGAGGGGGGAGTATATTTGAATGGATCAAATAATGGGTCATCACTTTTCAATTTATCAGTGGAATGAAATGAATTGTGTGTTTCGGTTTGGAACGCGTTATTTGAGTAAAAACTCTTCATAAGAACTGAAAGCATCGCAAAGTTTCAGCTAGGAGCCAGCGCTTAAGTACTGCTAGCCTGATTAAGTACGGCTAGACTGCCAGTCCAGCCGTACTAAGATCTAGGTTTGGCCCTGTCGACTCGAACCTGTTGAGTACACAGGTCTCATTAGATCTAGCTCTAGTAGCTGTTCAGGTTTAAATAATGCAAGTCAGTAAGGCACCGTTTGGTTTTGCCTGAAATACAAATATACTTTTATAGGCTTTGCAAACTAAAAATTTCATTTACAATTCAGCCAACAAGTACGGCTTTAGGCCCTAAACTAGATTATATCTAGTACTATTAACAAATATTAACATTAGAAAACAGGAGGTTTAAAATACATGCACTGTCATTAAGGCACCTGGTTTCGTCTCAAATACAAATACTTTAGGTACTGCAAACTAAAAATTTATTAACAATTCAGTAGGCCTTTTTTTTTGGGTCAGTCTAGCCATCATATATAAATGCGGCTAGCACAGCTGTCTAAGATCTATGCCCCAGATGACAGGAGCGAACGAGAAAAAAATAGAGTGGGAAAGTAGGCGGGGGAGAAAGAAAGACAGAGGCAAACAAAGAGAATGAGAAGGCGAGTTATACACAGAGGAGAGAGAGGAAGAGAGAGAGAGCGAGAGAGAGAGAGAGAGAGAAAGAGAGAGAGAGAGAGAGCGAGAGAGAGAGAGAGAGAGAGAGAGAGAGAGAGAGAGAGAGAGAGAGAGAGAGAGAGAGAGAGAGAGAGAGATCCTGCTTCTTTGTCATCTTGGCCGTCATTATTCGGACACGGTCTGGAAAAAAGAAAGTGTCTTCGACCAAGAGCCTGCCTCCTTGGCACTGGACTTTTTACAGGAGAACCACCAGCTTGTAACTCGACTCGTTGTGTTTTCTTAGGGCCGGGCCTTAGACTTAGGGCTAGGCATAGAGTCTGTGAGAGTTAGGCTTTATCTAACTCTTAGAACGTACTACTTCCTCGTCCTGGGAGTTTGGAAGCACAATGTTGTGTGTAGGACAGTCCTTGCAGTAAAAAAAAAACTAAGCCTTGAAAAAAAAGAGTTCCAAAGAGAAATATTCTACATTGTATAATAATTAATTATGACCTCTTTGACTCGATAGAAAATAACTACAGCAGGAATTGAGCATAATACTCCGTCTAAGATCCCGGTGCTCGGGAGCAAGGAAATGCAGGATCTTAATTCTTAGGCGAACCGGGATCTTTGCAATCGGTAAAATATTCTCCCTCCACTCTAAAATGAACTGACGCTACCCCTTGGTGGGTTTATGACATAAGGCGAGCAAAGAGTGGTTAACCTTGATGACCTATCACAGTGCATAGTGGCAAGAGGAGTACCATTTTCAGTTACGATCCTGTCATGAGTCTCACGATCTACGCTTATCCAGTTGCCCCTCCCCTTTACCTGCCGAAAATTTATTGCTTTCCACCTCTGACCAAGCCCCCCCCCCCCCCTCCCCCCAAACCGCCTTTGTCGTTACACACCATTCTACATTGTGAACACACCAATTAGAATTCAGTCTGTCTCGCAAATTCGGGAGTAGAGACAACTGCTGCGTTGGTCAGGGAAGAGGTCACGTTTCGATGTGATCCCGCTTGGGGCGAACGTGTTGGCCCTACCCACCAAGCGAGTGATGTAAGTTTAGGGGGAGAGCTCAGGTGTGAGTGCGATGCGTGGGGAAAACAAACGTGTCGGTCAGTTCACACCCCGGTGTGATCCCGTCTGGAGCAAACATTGTATCGCTTCATCGTGTTTTACAACGCGTATGTGATCCCATTCACGATAGTGGCTGATCTTCGACGTGACGGACAGTTTATTGATCTCAACTTTCCACTCTTGGTTGATCGGCGACCTGCCCGGGTTTTTGTTCCGCAAATTATGATCTGAAATGCGGGATCTTAGCCGAATGTAGACCTTCAAAGGGAATCAGAGAGGGATCTTAGGGGTGTATTATAAAAATTGTTTTCTTAAAACAGCGGGATCTTAAGCGAACCGGGATCGTAAGCGATGGGATCTTAGGTGGAGACTACTGTAATTATATTATATAATATACGCGTCAAGCGTGAACTGCCTGAAACACATTGGTTGCAAAAATATTGTTAGATAATTGGGAATAGAAAAAAAACAACAAACAACAATAATAAATGTGATGGAATCAGGCTCTCGTCAAAATAATCAAAGTGAAGAAACTGGCATTTTTCCACAGGTTTGTGAATTTTTTATCAAATATTTGGTTTTTTTGGCTCAACACCTTTCATGCCCATTTAAGAACTCAATTCTGTGTGGATTTTTCTTTAAAACGTTAATTAAAGACACAAAAAATGTAAATTTTAAGTTACCACGGACTCTTATACTAAGGAAATAACAGTAACTAATCTTTGGCGGCCATTTTCTCACTAATTTCACCTCTGAAAACAGGTTATCCCCACCTCCTTCATTCGCAAATATCTCGACTTGTATTTAAGATAAATGGATTTTTTTTCATCCAAATAAAGACAAGTGAACAAGCTTTAAGATGATACCAATAACTCTACATGCCCAAATATTGACGAGAGCCTGATTCCACCACGCTGCCTCATAAATACATTCGGCCTATATGTAGGGCCTACCAAAGATTCTCTACACGATCTTTGTATTGTACTTCTAGCTGTAACTATTATTATCTCTGGGATTTATTTTATCTAAATTGGGAAAATTATTATGTTTCTATCTCTTTTTAAAGCAAGTTCTGATCCAAATAAATCTAGTTAGCTGACTTTTTAAAAAATCTGCTGCCTGCCACAGGGAGCCGAAGTCTATGTCTTTTTTTTTTCTTGATTATTATTCATCTATGTATAGGCCTACATAATGTACCTAGACTATACTTGTAATCTCATTTACTTAATCTCTCCTTTTACCCTCATATGTACATAAGTCGGAGAGCAGTCGACGCCACGCTTGTCTGTCCCTGACCACGTCCTCCAATGTCGACAAATCATAGCCCTGGGTGATTGCCTCATCCCATATTTTGCCTCGTATAGGTTCCATGAGTTGGTCTTCCTCGTTTTCTTTTTCCAACTGGTTTCCAATACCATGTCTGATAGGACAATCTTCTCTTCGGCATTTTTAGAAATGTCCTATAGATATCTCCATCTTCTTTTTATTATAGTTGTGTTAATATCTTCAATTCCAGCTCCTTATAACACTTCCTTATTTGTAATAAATTCATTTAGTTTGTTTTTTTTGTAAAATTTCTTCGTAAATATTAAAATACATTTGGTTTGGAAACCTTCCATTTTAGTTGAATTGTTTTGTTTGCTTTCCATATCTCTGAACCATATGCCAATACAGCCAAAATATTGCTATTATATATTTTCTATGTTGTCTTCAATGAAATTATATTTTACTTCCATATAGATTCTAGATCAAGTTTTTAATTTCACAACAGCGATCCATGCAATTTTAAGTCTTTGGTGGACGTCATCAAGGCAGTCTGCATTTTTTCAAAATATAATGCTGTCCAGGTACTTGAATTTACTAATTTCTCCAACAAAATAATTTGTCCATAAAGAGTAATGGGTGTAGATCTAGTTTCTGGTAATGGTTGTAGTAGGCCCAAACATAAAATTCTGCTTTAGATACATTTATTTATTATAAGGCCAACTTTTTCAGACGTCATCCACAACATCAAAATCTCCTAAGTATGTGCCATCCAATGCCTGTTTCAATGTATTTGGTTTCATCACAAAATCGATCGCAATTCCAAAAAGTACAGGTGATAATAGTAATACAGCCTCATGTAGCACCGGTAATTTACTTCAAAAAGTATAGATATAACTAGCTCTCAGCGGTAATTCCTTCATCTAGGACACAGAGCTTGCATTGGTGTATAATGATTTTATACAGTTTCTTATTTTTCTTGGGATGCCATACATTGCAAGAATTTTCCACAAGGCCTCTCGGTCTCTGCTGTGAACGGCTTTCTTATAGTCTACAAAGTTTAAAAGAATAGAATCATTCTTTGCTTTGTTCTTCGATATTTTTCCGAACAAACAATTGATCTGTACGAAATCTCTGTGGTCGAAAACCCGGCTGTTCCTCTCTTGGTCTCTGATCTAATGCTGTTCTGATACGAGTCAAGATAATATCGCAAAATAATGTTCCAGACACCGATAAAAGCGTTTTCCTCTCCAATTGCTAGTCTTTTAAGTCCCCCTTTTTTAGGTACTGGTAGTCTCATTATATTATTATTTCCCTTTCTCCATTCCTTGGGCGTGTTTTCTTTTTCAAGAATTTCGTTAAATAGCAAAAGTAATATCTCATAACCTTCTTTTCCCTTTTCCAAATGTTTTAATCATTTCAGCGGTAATTCTGTTTTCTCGTGTTGTTACTTTTCATTTTCATGACTAGGCCTACTTCTAAAAATTCCTGCATGGTTATTTTGTACATAGGCTACTTATGTCAAATTCCTCTATTGATTATACTTTGTCAAAGTTGAATTCATTTGGGGGGAGGGGGTGGGGGTCTATTTAAAATCTCTTGAAAGTGTTCTGCCCATCGATCTTTATTTGTCTTTTAAGTTATTGCCTTGGTGCCATCTTTCTTTTCTACTGCTCCGTCTGATGATTTTCAAAAGTCTTCAGCTAGTCTTTTAATTTTTTAAATCTAGTATAATTCTTACATGTTGTTTCTGCTTGCTGCTTCTTGAGCTTCAGCAGCTTGTTTTTCTATGTATTCTTGTTTGTTATTTTCTCGCCTTTCTTTTGATGTATTTGACTTTTTCTCTGTTACTTTTCCTGGGCCTGAACTGTATCATTTGCACTTATCTGCAGCATATAATTTATTTCTGCTTCTTTTCATGTACTTCTTACGCGCGTGGTGGGGTTGGGTGGGGGGAAGGGGATGTGAGATTTGATCAAATTGGTCATGCGTGAAATATTTTGGTTTACACTTCTGATATCTCCAAACTGTCTTCGAGGCCATTAACCCAGTGTTGAGGGAACGAAAAATAAAACACTCTTTGAAAGACCATGTCAGGTGGAATTAGTAGGTCCCCTCTGTACTGAAAAAAAAAAATCCTTCACTGCAGTTTGGCATTCTCTGTTGCATTTTATAAGAACCAATTTTAAAAAAGAAATAGTGAAAGAGATATAATGTATCAGGCCTTCGATATTTTGATATTTTTGAAAACCAAATTAAAATACATTGTTCCTTATTTTATTTCAAGCCAAAATGAACTTAATTATTATGCTCTTGATCTTTGAAGATATCCTTCCCCCCTCTTATCCTATCTATCTGTCTGTCTGTCTGTCTGTCTGTCTGTCTGTCTGTCTGTCTGTCTGTCTGTCT